AGCTGCTGGCCGCGTGCTGCTGCCGCCCACAGTCGAGCCGGTCAAGTATGCCTTCCTGCTGGAATCAGCTCTGCTGGTTTTAGGGTGTGGGGTTTGAGGTCTTACCGTTGGGGTTTAGGTTCTAAGGAGTTTACTGTGTTGCTACCTTTGTAATAGGGACTTGAGTTGGGTTCTTTAGGGATTGTGCGGACTCGAGGTTTTGTCTTTGATGGGGACTTGAATTGGGTTGTATAGAGAGGTCATTGTTTTGCAGACTTCGTTATGATTTTGTTGGGTCTTTTCGTCGGATCCCTATAGAATCCAGGGTTCACCAAGCCGATTCCAATAGACCCTTTCAGTTGCATTTCGTTGTTTTGTTGAGGGGGGGGGAAGTTCGAACAATCGCATGACTAAGCTTTTGGGTTTCTTTTCCTAAGGATCGCATGGATTATTGGGGTTTAGGGTCTAGGAAACCCTAAACCCTAAGCCCCAAACCCTAAACCCTACACCCTAAACCTTAATTAAACCCTAAACCCTAAGCCCTGCACCCTAAACCCTAAACCCTAAACCCTAAACCCCACACACACCCCACAGACTGGACCCCAAGACAGAGCCGCCGAAACCCCTAACGAGCAGCGCCTGAAGCACGCTTGGAGGGCCTGGGAGAATGGCAGGAAGCTAGAAAGTCGACTAATAAGTGCCCTTAAAGGGATACCCTAAACCCTAAACCCTAAACCCTAAACCCTAAACCCTAAACCCTAAACCCTAATTGGGGTTATAGTACTTATGGTTGCAAGTAAAAGTAGACTTACAGACGAGTTAGGGCTTAGGGCTCCAGGGATCCACTGACCTTATCCCAAAAAGCAACGGGGTTTAGGGTTTAGGGTTTAGGGTTTAGGGGGTATCAGACTGCACAACGTACATGGCCATTAGAATGCGACTTAGGTGCCCGGGGTGGGTAGCCCCAACAAGGGTGCTTGTTGTAGCCCAGCTACAGCTTACCTACAGAGAACCCCAAAATTAGCACTAAACCCTAAACCCCTAAACCCTAAACCCCAAAACCCTAAACCCCACACTCTAAACCCTACACCATAAGCCCCTAAACCCCAAACCCTGAACCACTAAACCCTCAACCCTGGGACTACCCAATCCCACAACCTCCGGATGCCACTTATGCTTGGAGGGTCGGGGGATTTAGCAAGTACTTTTATCTGATAGAGTTTCTAACCCCAATACTTATTACCTAGTATAGTAATTAAGTACTTTTAAGTATCCTTACCCCAATTAGGATCCCTTTTGGGATTCCTTTTAGGTCAGGGGTCTAGGGTTTAAGGCGTAGGGTTTAAGGTTTTGGGTTCAGGGTTTAGGGTTTAAGGTTTAGGGTTTAGGGCCCTCCCGAGTCTGAAAAGTCCTCTGCCTCAACCAAGGACATCAAGTTGGTGCCAGATCTGGTAAACTTCACTTTCGATGGCACCGAGAAGATCTGTGCTTTGCCTTGCTTTGGGTTTAGGGTTTAAGGTTTGGGGTCTAGGGTTTAGAGTTTAGGCTTTTAGGTTTAGGGCTTAGGTTTTAGGGTGATTCAGATTCAGCGTTTTGGAGTTTGGAGGGGCCTAGGTAATTACGAACACTATGTGGGGGGGTTCCTTATTATCATATTTATAGTATAGAATACCCGCAAACCCTGTTCTAATGATCAAGGCCGCTTTATCAGGTTTGATGGGGAGTCCCACAGATCGGAGCATGCGTTCCCCACAGACATGGCCCCTTCACATGCGTCTGTTTTCATGGTGGGTTCAGGGTTTAGGGTTTTTCCCCACTTCTGCTGTCGGGGATAAGAAGTAAAGTGTAAGCGATGCACGACGACCTCACACCCTCAAGAATCCCTTACACCCTAAACCCTGAAGCCTAAACCCTAAACCCTAAACCCCTGCACCCTGTACCCGAAACCTTATAGTCCAAAGTGTCAAGCCCAGAAGTCCCGAAAGCCGCAAAGCTCAAACCTCGTAATCACCTGAAGATCCGGAAAAGCCCCGAAGAGCCCCCAAAACTCAAAAACCCTAAACCCTTAAGGGTTTAGGGTTTAGGGTTTAGGGTTTAGGGTTTAGGGTCGAAGCCCTACGTACCCAAGCCTTGAACCCTGAATCCCTATAAACCCTAACACTCTAAACCCTTAAACCCTCACACCCTCAATCTCGACTATAGAAGCCTAAATAATTTCAATATCATTCCTCAGGTTCCTTATTCTAAGATGAGAGTATAGCATACCCCAAAGCCCTATTCTGATTATTAGGGCCCCTACAGTAAAGCCCCCTGGACCCCAAACCGAACCTGATGAAACCGATAAACTTTAAACCCTAGACCCCGAAACCCTAAACCCTAACCCCCATAAAAAAAATTCTGAACCCTACACCCTAAAGCCCGAAACACTAAACCCCAACCCCACAAAAACCCTGAGCCCTACACCCTCAACCCCGAAACCCTAAAGCCCTAAAGCCGAACCCCATAGAACCAACAGGCCTGGACGTCCGAGAGGCGACGGACGAGTCTGAGCTGCACCGCAGGTTTACAGCGAAGCCCAGAGTTGGAGCATGAGCTTAAGGTTTAGGGTTTAGGGCT